CCCCAAAACCCCAAAACCCCAAAACCCCTTTAACAATTTTAATATTTGAATTCTCTTTTATGCTTTATTATTAGCTTTTACTTCAATTCTCTTAAGTCAAGATGTGAATCCGTCTTAACCCTCCTTTTGCCCACCCATTTCGGTATGAAATTTTCTCATGAGCACTACACAGGCTATTCTGGCTTTAGCTCTCCTTAAAATAAACAGAGGGGTGTCTCAACACACAGTTGGTGCTTTATGAGTTTTATTTATTACTTATCTGCTAGACATTAGTCTAGTTGCCCTAAAACATTCTTGTCAGAATACTTTGTAGTTAATTCAATGTAGGCATTTTCTCCTGTGATTATAAATAAAGAATATTTTTTCATTATTGAAACCTCAACTTTGAACATTTAAAGCTATTTTGAGAAATTTAGAAAATTTGTGATTAGCACAGAACCAAATTTTTCACTATATCATTTATTGATCAAGATCTATCTGAGATTACTTCCGTTTAGGTTGGAAGATCTACAGGGTAATTACCAAAATCTTACGTTTATCTTGGTCGGACTGAGCTGAACAGTGATCAAATGTATCCTATAAACCTGTCAAAATCCGATTTGAAAGCTAAAATTTGCTAAATTCCAGTGTGTACTTACTCAGATTTCATACTAACTTCGGAGACTGACTCTTCACTAAGGTTATGCTCTATAGTGCTTAGAGCCCAGGATTTATCAACTCTGATTTCTTCAATAAACAAGTTTGCACTTCTTGTCATCTTCTATAGCGATAAAGAGTGAAACTAGGTCTTCTGGAAGTGCAAGCAAGCATACAAAAGGGTTCTAACCAGTCAGAGAAGGCATAAAGAAGCCATGTTAATATTTAGCCCATAAGTGCTTAGTAATTCTCAAATAAATTTGCAAGGATTTTTTAGATTTAATCTTTGAAATTCTGATATTTGAATGCCCATAATTTAGAGATTGATAAAGATGAGAGATTTCCAAGTGAGGATAAAGGATTTATTGTGGATTATTGGGAATTAGAGAGATTTCAAGAATTTGTATACAAACCAGCTTACTCTTCAGACAACTTCCTACATAAGGGATGTCTTTAAAGGAATTTTTTAGCGAGAGTTAAGAATAGTGAGGTAGATATCTGGTGGCAGATTGTTTGGAAATTATTGTTTGGATGAAGGGATGAGTGAGAAGGAGAGATAGGAGGTAGTTACTGGTTTTAGTTCTTGGATTTTACTATTTAGCTTCCGGTTTGAGATTTTATTTATGTTTTTTCGTATTTTATGCTTGTTTAGTGCTCTAAATTTAGGTTAGATTAAAAAAACGAATTTTAGTGCAAGATTAGTTCCTATAAACATATAAATTCCATAGATTTCTAAAAGGATATTTTGTTGTTCATCACATAGTGGTTAGAAATGTTTGTAGTAGGCTTAGTACATGTTATTGATATAATATTCATGATTAAATTTGGTCTGAGATACCGGTCTTGTTTCATTCACTAAAGACTCTTCTACTTGGAATTCTTTGTGCTTTCTATTCGCTTCAACCATTTCTTTCTAAAAGGTATTATAAGCAAGACAATACTTTTCTACTTGGTCAGCATCACCTTTGACCCATTTTTATACCCTAAACTTCTCAGATTCAAAACTTATCTCCCTATATGGGGTTTTGGGGTTTTGGGGTTTTGGGGTTTTGGGGTTTTGGGGTTTTGGGG